GTACCCTAGATGCTCTATAAAAGGAAAAACCGGAGATTTGTTTTGCACATGTAAAATAATTCAAAAAAAAGGTAAAAAAAAAAAAAAAAAAAAAAAAAAAAAAAAAAAAACATGCTCTGCGATAGATTATTCGCATGATATGTAAATGTTCATCTGAACACCTTGGTCTCGTCTGATGTTTGATACTCACTTTGAGTCTCATGGATGAAGAATTGCTAGGGTTATATGTATTTTTTCAAGTCGTCGAATCATTAATTCCTTTGTGGCGCAATTGGCTAGCGCGTCTGACTGTTAATCAGGAGGTTGGAAGTTCGAGCCTTCCCGAAGGAGATGAGATAAGATCTGCTCTTTCTTTTTTTGCCGATTGATACCTCGGACTTCTTTCATTTGTCTTGTTTTGCTTAAATTCAAGAAATGATCAATTGAAGCTGGACAGCTAGGCTGCCTTATCAAACTTCTGCCTATCTGTAGGTCTCTGTGTACGGAGCGAAAAAGGTAGAGACGCTGCAACCCAAGCTGCCTCACCGCTTCTATGATGCGACGTAGGCGCAAGGTACTGTTACGTGCTGCAGACGCAACTGCGCATAGGTGCATCTCTATTGAACAGAAGTATCAATGTACGGAGTACACATCTCGTCGAGCGCATCTGACGCCACTTGGGATGAAAGCCGAGAGGACCCTATTTCCCCAGGTTGGAGGGCAGATCGTGCAGATCAGGTTACACGCTGATTCCGCTAGCACCAAGAACGGCATCTTGCCTGAAGCAACAGTGAAATAAGTGCCAAGGGAGCTCAGTCACGAGATTGACGGATAAGAGAAAAAAGAGAAAAAAAGAAAAGGAAAAGAGTAACGAGAGGAAAAAAGTTAACAGGAGAAAAAGCGTAGGAATTCATCCATAGTCTGTGGTGCATCTTTACTCGAGCTCATAGTCAAACAACGCTGCTGTTACAGTACTAGTAGTACTCATCCGGGTTTGCTGACTGAGCGTTTGGCGGCTGCGTGCGCACAGGAATGGGGTGCATGGTGGGGTTAGGCGGCCATTACAGAGGGCTGGGCCTCTTTCGGCAGCGCAAGCACCGATACTGGAGCGCCGCTGTACCGAGTAGGCGAGAGTGGCAAGTGGGTGACTTGCTATCTTATCTTTTCTTCACCAGAACCTCTTCTCCGCGCCAAGGTGAAGACTCAATTGCTTGTCCGTAATTAACTTGGCCGGTTGTGCGTCGGCTCGCTGCTAATAGAGGCACCAATCGGAAATTTGATATTTTGCAGGCACCTCCAATCTCCTGCGGCAAGGCAGCAAAAGCACCTCCACGATTGCTTCTCCCAGCCCCCTGCACACCGATCGATACAGGCCTCTCTCCCCAGCCATCGGTGTTGCCTGTCTCACATACCTACTACGGGCTAATACCGACTGCTAGCACAAGCAGCAACAGCAGACCTTACACCGTATCGGAGCACTGCCGGGCCAGCAGGACTTTACTGTTCTCCTCAGCAGCGCTTCCCCCCTTTTGTATCTTGTATTGATCTAGATTCTCCCTCCTCTTTTCTAGGCCACCGCCACCGGACCTCTATCGATGATCATTGGCGATCCGGAAGTCTAGGGTTGAGCTCGGCGGCAGGTGGCAGCGTTTCTCCTTGCGTTCGTTCCCCTCATCAGGTCTCCCGATCTCGAGCAGGGCTAGCTCCAGTGGAAGAACTGTCTTGCCTCAGCTACAGCCCCCCCAAGCACCTCCCCAAGCCACCGTCTTTTGGTTTTCCAACTTTGCATTAATCAGGCATTCGCCATTGCACGAGCGACAGCTGCTGCCTTCTGTACGACTGTGCGGTTGTCGAGAGCACTGCTCCGTAGAATCCCAGGGGCGTCCTGTGGTAGCCAAGGCGGCGGTCACCCACCTGTCACTTCTGCTGTATCTTGTCCTGCCTGATACCCAGCTCCGTCATTGGGTACAGGTACTCCATCACCACGCAATTTTTATATCCTTTTCTCTTCTGCATAACATATCCCAGATCACGCGGCATTGCGATTGCGTAGGGTCACTGCAATGTTTGGTACACAGAGCTACAAGGACGTCATGTCTGAGTCTGGCCGGAAGCGTGGCCGAGATAGTGAGGGAGAGGTGGACGGCATGTCCATGGGTCTGGAGGGGCACCGGAGCGTAAGTTCAAGCAGAGAGATGCTCTATGATGCGATGCAGTCTGCGAGGTTTACTAATTGGTGTTGTAGAAGCGATTTCAATGCCTTCCTCTTCGAACCTCGCCAAGGTCGTCGCAGCAGTGGCCGTCCGCAGCGTCCATGGGCCCCGAGTCTGATGGCCATGCCACCCAGCTACTGTTTTCTCGCTGGTCGCATTCGTCCGTGGGAAGTTCCTCCGGCTCTCACGATGACACCGAGGTGGACATGATGAGCTCTAACCGGATGCCAACACCCATACAGCCCAGCTTTGCTGCGCAGGTGCGTGGCCAGCAGAACGAGTGGGCTGGCCCCGGGCCTGTTGTGACGACGCTTAATGGGGTTATTAACATGGGCCACCATCCCGCGGGCTTCTCAGACGACCAATCTGTGCCTCGTGTAATGTCGGGCCTGGAAGACTGGCAAGCTGCGCAAAACCACCGGAGGCTACCGTCGCCGATTTCAGAAGTGGAAGACAGCATTTTGGACCAAGATTTTGGCGAAGGAAGCATGATGGTGGATGATGGCATGGGCGTAACCATGGATGCTGGCATAGTGCTACCACCGTCACCGTCGCGCGCAATGGACCACCCCAACGCCATGATGGACATCGAATCGCCGCCGCGCTCGCACTTACACGGAGCTGACGGCGAGGGTGACGCCCATTCACCCAGCCCAGCTCGCAGAGGCCACATGCGAAGCAAGCATACCATTGACAGTTGGACATGGCAGCCTGGCATGAAAAAGAGCTTCAGTATTGGATACCGAGCCGATTGCGAAAAGTGTAGACTCAAAGTGCCTGGGCACTTTAACCACATCGTCATCTCATAGCAGGGGAAGACAAAAGTCATTGACCCCCAATTTAACCCAGCCGTGTGGGATGCCGCAATCAGACCCCTCGATTGGCAGGAGAAGCGACGGCAACTGACGAAGACTTCCGACCGGAGACAATGTACCGTGCACCCTGCATCAAAGTATGTAGAGAAGCTCATCATACCAAATTGGTGCTCAATGTCGTCGGCTTTAATTCGGGGACAAACGGTTTCTTCGTTGTGTGACAAGGCGGGAAACTTTTTCTGGAAGCGCCAGCGACGAATGGTCGATTGCGATATCCAGGGTCACATTATCTGATTTCTTTTACTTTGTTTTTCTTTTTGCAACATCACATTTTATCGGAGTTTGACGGACGGCCAGGTTTTGCGACGCACTCGTTATTGATATCACGCATCGACATCTGCATTGTGGATAAAAGAGAAAAAGAGAAAAGAGACATTCTGGTTGGGTTAGCGATATGCATACCCCCTAGACAAGCGTTATTGATGAAGCGATTGCTCGGTATGGCAGTCTATACATATTCTTATTTCTGGGGCGCAACATTGGTAAACACAACGGATCAGGCATTTTACATTATGAGAAGCGACTCACCATCATTCATATTCATGACAGACCTAATAGCAACAAACACTCTCCTTTATATATAAGCAAAAGTTTCCTTTTTAGTTTCCTTTTAAAGTACAATACATCTTTTTGTTAGTTCTGCGTGTCCAACAGATTGAGATGTATATGATATAGTAGTTGGGAGGTGTATCTCCTTATATAATACATACAACAAAATGACTCCCAACTCCATCTAGTGCAAGCCATGCAATTATGATACACGGGCTGCTGCCCTCCTTACCCAAGTGATATAATGACATAATTTTACGTCCCCCCCCTTCTCTTTCGCCCCTTTTATTCTTTTTTTGCTTCTTGCTTGGCTCACCACCAGCCCTTCTTCTTGGATTCCGTAGAGGAACTCCCGGTTTCCAGTGCAGGGACATTCAGCTGATTCTCTTTCTCTTGCTCCCACGCTGATTGAACAGCGGCACTAGAAGCGGTAGAGCTGGCGTCGCTCTTCTTGCTGTCGCTGCCTCCCCAGATGTATCCTAGGATGCCCTTGCCCTTGCTTTCCGCCACCTGGTTTTGGGTTTGGCCGCCCTCGAAAGCAGGCTTGATGTGCTCCTCGAAATGCGTTCGGTGCTCGGGCGGGGACAGGAGGGACGGCAGCTTGATGCCCTTCTCCTCGGCTTCTCGGTTGGCCTCCTCGACGAGAAGGATCTGCTCTTCGGTGGCGTCGCCCTTGAGGTAGGCGATGCGGGCGGTGGCGAGCTCGTCGGCCTCGAATTTCTTTTGGGCTTCTATCCACTCAGCGCGGCGGGCGCGGTTGTAGCGCAGCATGTCCCATACTGAGTATACGCTGACGACACCGGCGACGACTAATTATATGTCTCTCTGTTAGCCTTTGTTCCTTTATAAATCGTCAAGAGAATCGATGTTGCCGTGAGCAAAAAAACGCACCTGAGAACATCACAAGCCCCCCCACCGTCCATCTGTGCGCCACATCGAAAAACCGCCTTGACGCATCAATCACTCTGTCTGTCCTGCTAATCTGTGCCTGCTGCGCCGCCAGATGGGCCTGCCGCAACCGTTTGACTCGCTGCTCGGGCGTCTCGCCGGGGATTCTCATGGTCCGTGGCGCGGCGGCAGAGGTGGCAGATTTCGATGTGGCGTGGGGGATGGTCGAGGTGAACCTGGTGGCGTCCTTGACGCTCCGGGATCCCATTCGGGATGCCATTTTTTTTTTCTTTCGTGATGGAGAGGAATTAAAAGAAAAAGAAAACTAGTTTGGGGAGATTGAACGATGGACCTCTTTAGACGACTGTGATTAAGCAAGTAGTTTGAGAGGAATTGACGAGTGAGGGGTATTAGGAGGGATGATTGGGTAAAGAGAGAGATTTTGTCAACGTCGGAAATGGACCGTTTTCGTGAGATTTTTTGGATGAGGTGCAAAAGCAATGGAGGGACGAGCAAAGTGGAATTCGGCGCTTGTGATTGGTGCGGGGTAATTCCGGGCATCGAGAAATGGGCTGTTTTTTCCCTTGCTACTTGGAGAAGGATGAGGAGAATTGTGCTAAGGACAATAAGCTACAAGCTTCTTATTCTACCTGCGTATGAAGCAAAGTCGGCTATTGCACTACGTCTAATATTTGTAGATGAAGCATTGCGGCGATGGGTGCAGGCGAATTGGGCATTAGAAAACTACTACACGAGCATGCTTGACTGATGGTATTCATGGAATGGAACAGTCGACTGTTCTACCATGCAGATTTTCTTCTCGTCGTGCTGGCATTCTGTCTTTTTTAGGCTGTTTTTGTAGCATTATGGCAGAGTTGCTGAATCTAGGTTGTTGAAGCAACTGGCTTTGTAGACCAAGACTTGCACATCAGTAAAGTAGGCCCAAACAGCTTTTCTAGAGAGAGCATAGTTCATCGTTTTGGCAGGCTGCATACCTAAGTAGGTATACAAAATCTATGGAATGTCTAAAACATGTGGCGAATTCCAACACGCGCTCGCCAACAGATGTACAGGTTGACGCGTTCAAAGTACTTGCTTACGATATCGCCAGATCTTCTGCTCTAATCTTCTTCATGCGTCTGCATATAGCAGCCGTCACAATGAAAACGGAGTGGTATATCAAAAATTGCGCCTCCCATGGCCCCGAAGGACAATGGAGCAAGGAACGACTCCGCGCTGTGCAATGCAGGCCTTCCCAACTGAATACCCCGAATCTTGAACTGGGGTATTCGAAACAAGGTAAGTATGAAGAAGAAAAGAAGAAAAACAAGCAAAAGGGTGGCAGCGTCGACGGCGTTTTATAGCTTCAAGCTGATGCCTGGCGCCAAAATGACCCAAATAAGGCACCAATGCGCTAACAATTTTTAAGCGGAGCACGTGATTGCGATTCGAATTTTTGGTGCGCGGCAGGGCATGTCCCCACGAGGTACGTATCGGTGGTAGGGCACGAAAACCCTTTGACGAATTTGACGAGCCTCATCCTCCGAAATCTCAACGCCTACCGAACAACGAGCATCAGAGTCCACGTTGATCGCAAGCAGACACAATGGTATGGATAGATGCCCCCCCAATGGAGCATGTTGGATTGCTCGAATCCATTCAGGTTACTGACTTTTTATTTTCAAACAGGCGATCAAGCACAACCAGACCCTTATCAGCAACCGTGAGCATCTCCCCCGACTAGGATTACAAGAAAAGAAGAAGACGAAGCGACGATATACGAGCAATGATGAAAGGCGACTGACATGTTCCCACAGATTTCCGCAAGGATTGGCAGCGACGGGTTCGCACTCACTTCGACCAGGTACGCGATTCTTGAAACCCAAATGATGGAAGAAAAAAAAAGTTGCGACATAGGAAAAGTTGGACAATTTGGACACGAGATATTGACTTATTCTCTCGAATAGCCCGGCCGCAAGACCCGGAGACGTACTGCTCGTCAGGCCAAGGCTGCTGCCCTGGCTCCCCGCCCCGTCGACAAGCTCCGACCTGTTGTGCGATGCCCTACCATTAAGTACAACCGACGAGTCCGTGCCGGTCGTGGTTTCACCCTCACCGAGCTCAAGGTACGAAATGATTGCGCGATTCCCACTCTCAATCCTCCTGGCCTCGAAAGTACAAGACAAAAACAAGTCTCTTAGAGGCCTCTTGGATCGACAAAAACCGAAAAAGAAGAAAACGAGTGATGAATTTTTTTTGGCCTGGTTCTAACAAATCTTACAGGAGGCCGGTATCTCAAAGTCCCAGGCTCCCACCATCGGTATCTCTGTCGACTTCCGCCGACAGAACCTGAGCGAGGAGTCCCTTGCCGCCAACGTCGCCCGCCTCAAGGCCTACAAGGAGCGCCTCATCCTCCTCCCCCGCAAGTCCAACGCCCCCAAGAAGGGTGACACCAAGACCGACGTCGCCTCGCTCGACAAGGCCTCCTCCATCGTCTCCGTTCTGCCTATTGTCCACGTCGCTGGTGGTGTCTCTGAGATCAAGAAGAGCGAGATCCCCGCTGAAATCGAGGGCGGTGCCTACACCAAGCTGCGCACTGCCCGCAGCAACGCCAGATACCAGGGTGCTCGTGAGAAGCGTGCTCGCGACAAGGCCGAGGCCGAGACTGCCAAGAAATAAACTTTGTCAACAAAAGGGAAACTGGTGTTTTAAGGGTTTTTTGCTCTTTGCGTCTCTTATCGGGAAGTGTGTGGCAAAGGTTCGGTTTTCGAGGCTTTGATATGGAAGTGCTCAGGGGCCGTGGGTACGAGAGGAATTATTATATGCTCTTTTAGGTTCCCCAGGTCAAAGAATTATTTGCATGATCAACCGACCCTGTCCTGTACACACTTAAAAAGAAAGAAATTAGGGTCAAATGGCAGCATTTTAAATACGCACATGAGGCATACGTAGTTTCTTAATTCCGTGAAAAAGTTTGCTTCTGTTTTTTTCAAAACATTTTTTCTTGTTCAATTGGATCTATAATCTTTTCTATGTGCACTTTGAATGGTCTGATAAAAATGGAACGGCGTATTACGAAAGCACACGGGCCAGTTTAATCATGTATAGAGCATACATAGACACCTATATATCGCTACAGTCCAACCTTCTTTCACTTATACATGCTTATCCAAGATGACATTAGAAGCTAAAAGAGCATTTCACCATCTCTTCTTCTTTTAATTGCAATAGACACAGTTCCATCAACTTCACGATGATGCTGCCTTTTGTGCCGCTACAATCTCCGTGCCCTCCTTGACCACATCTTGCAGGATGCTCAGCCTCAAGCCAGGCAGTTGATGGCCCCACGCCCGGAGAAGTTCCGTGCACATCACCAGCGCATTCTCCCGATCTACTCGGATCATACTCTCCCGCTGTTTCGGATCTGCCTGCTGAGGTTCGAGTCCCAGTCCCTCCGCCATTGACGTGATCTGGCCATCTGGTGAAGCAGAGGACGATGCTCCCTCGATACTGTCACCGCTGCTTCCGATTTCGCTGGGAAGTGCATCTCTTCCAGTGACGGCTTTGATGAGCTCTGTGATGATGCCGAGCATTTGAAGCACCGTGATGATGACGCGACTGCCCTCCTTGGAGCGACACATGAGAGCAAAGATGAACCACGCTTCTGAACGAAGAGACGGCCATTTCTGCTGGCTGATGAGGAACGAAAGAACCCTACCGACGTCATGTTTGCTATAAAAGTATCCAAGCCGCTGATTTTCTGCATCCACAGAACCGTTGTCGGGCGAGTCTGCTTCGATTTCGACCACAGGAGGCTCCCAGTCTGGCAGCAGGGACGCAACTGGGTTGGAGTGAAGTACACGACATATAGCAGCGATAGCCCGAGCGGCCTCAAGCCTCGTGGGCTCGGCATCCGAGCGCTCATGCAGCGCAATAATGGCATGAACGCTTGAGCGCTCGCGCGCTGAGCTGGCTGGATCTGCGCTGAGGGGGGCACAGATCCGGGCAACGTTTGGCGGGCAGTTGACAAGCAACAGCCGGGTCAGAGATACGGCGGTGAACTGCACTTGGGGGGAGGTATCCAGGCTAAGAAGTCTCGGTATGCAGCTCACGTCTAACAGACTTCCAAGAAGCGGCTTGTTCTGGACCGGGATGGCCAGGTTTTTCAAAAAGGACATGGCTGAGTGGAGGAGCTGCGCGTCGACGATTTCGGGGTTCGAAAGCAGTCTCATCAAGGGGGTATGTGCAAAGTGGATTTGAACAAGAGCCATGGATACTTCATCGGAGCGAGAGAGATTGCCCAGAGCGAGACAGCCCGCAGTCTGCAGCTGCGGGTTCGAGCTCTGAAGCCAAGCGAGAAAAGTTTGAGCAACCTGGCTCTGCAACGGATGGCACGAAACGAATAGATCATTGCCCGTGACATCTGCCAGAGTGTTCAGGAGGGCGGCGTAGAGCTTATTCAGGGCCGCCACTGTATCGGCGTCATCAACCTGGATCATGTTAAAGTGAGTGTGCGCGTGGTAGAATGTGGAGAGGAAAAGCTGTAGTAAAGGGCCCTGGATCAAAGCAATTTGGAAATTCTCGTCAGAAAGGTAAGCAGCAGCTACTGTGACAAGTGAGATGAAGTCGTCGAGGTCATCTCGCGACGGCATACTCGTGGCCAGCCTGAGGGCAACTTCAACCGTGTTTGGGCTTGCGCGGCCTGTTTCGCCTTCTTGAGAAGTGAGCAAGATGAGGATTTTGCAAAAATAGGGGATAAAGACGACGAAGTTGGCAAGATTCGGAGAGGACAGAAGGGCGATGAGACGTTGGTTGAGGTTGGCCTCTGAAGCAGCCAACTGTGCGGGTTCTTCATCACGGCAAGTTGAGTTAGTTCTTTTTCACAGTCTGTCACACAAGGCTAAGGAGTCATCGTTCTCACCATAGTCAACTAGGATGTTGAAAAGCACTGGAATGGTGAAGGGTATTAAGCTCTCATCCTGCAGGTGGTTGATGATGGTGGCGAGGTGGTTTCCCTGCATCACTCTGGCACGGTTCACGTCTGTATCCGCACAAGAGTTTCCGACCAGCCGCAGGATATGGATTTGCAGACCCTGTTTGAGGCCATCATGGGCGAGGACGCGGAGGAAAAACTCCAAGATACCCGAGTCTCCAAAAGGGACCCGCCAGGCAACTATAACGACGCAGATATCGAGTCAGTCGGTGGCTGCCATGCTGTGAAGCTCCATCCTGGAACATGAAGTATCCCGAAGCTCTTATACTGGCCTCGAGAGCCACTCACCATCTCTGCTGCCATCGCCCAGCTTCTCAACCATGAGCTCTATCTCCTCAGATCCAGAGGTCCATACTTCTCGACAGGCGGCCAAAATAGGGATAAGCAGCTCAGTTCGCCTCTGGCTAGCGCCCACGGTTTCTGACGTCTCATCATACTTGTCAGGAGAGACTTGACTGCCCTCTCGCTGCAACATCTCTTCAATCTCCCTGGGCGACATGACTGCTGCTTGAATTTGCTTGCTTCCCAAAGTAAACAACACGCTATTGGAACGTTTCGAGCTTTGAAAAATGGTGACAAAGAGGAGCCAATAAATAAGGGGAAATCAAGATATCAGGCTGTAAAAGCTGTTCTGAGACTCCAGTTCATATACAAGCTGATGACGACTGCATCGACTCTCTTCGTGATTAGTAGGCAGACTAATATATCAGGCCCTCACCACCAAACGTGAAACAAAGGCTGGCCCAAAAAAAAGTGTTCAAGTGAGAAACCTAGTCCAGCCTGACGAACCACCATACGCGGAATACGGCAGGCTAAAATTAGGCTTAGAAATGCCGGAGAGTATTTTAGCTTATTCTGCTGCGCCGGCAGTGCAGATGAAATGTGATGAAATGTCCTGCCAATGAGCAACGATTTGCAAGGGCCAGACGCAATAGCTCAGTGGGCTTTGCAGCAGGCAATTGCGTGGCTCTTCAGGGGATCCCCTCGCTAACGTGTACTTCGTATGGGATGGGATGGGATGCTAATCATGGAGGGGGGCACACGACACAAGGGTGTGGGGGTTGGATTTCTTGTCCACTAGCGAGAGAAACGATAGGCGTGAACGGCCGCTTGACCGCGGTGAGGCATCGGCTCGGTCAGTGGCGGATCCTCGGGTAAATAAAAAACGGCAAGCCAGCAGAAGCCGATCGATTGCCACTGTCGCAAAACTCGGCTTTGGAAAATCTCAAGATTGAAGACGATTCTTGCCTTTCTCGACCGCGGGACGGTGCGCAACACTCTTGTCTTTTCTTGGAACGGCCGAATACACAGAGATTGTACAATCCTTTTTGGCGAGAGAGCACTCTTCGAGTCGCTGGAGCTGGCTTCTAGATCACCATGGTATGCATGCCGCAACTCTTCTTATTTTTCTGCTCACCGAAGATCCGGAAGCCCGTGCTGCGATGCGACGCATTGCGGCGGAGCGTGCCGAAATTCGCTTCGAAATTTGATGCTTTGATGGGAAACGTTACTAATCTCGAAATCGTTTCTTTCTTCTTCCAACAAAAAAGGCGCACAAATTCGTCCTCACAGCCTTCCTCACAGGCTCACGTATCCTCGGCCGGTCCTTCATGGCCGCCTACCGACAAGCCCAAGCCTCATCGCAGTACCAGCGTGCGCAAGCAAAGGCCGGCGGCGTCAGCGCCTCAGGCCGCGCCTCTCTAACGGCGGGCATGACCCTGGAAGAAGCCTGCCGCATCTTGAACGTCAAGCCCCCCGCCAACGGCCAGGCCAACGTCGAGGAGGTGCTCGAACGGTACAAGCGGCTGTTTGACTCAAACAACCCGGATAAGGGCGGCAGCTTCTACCTGCAGAGCAAGATTGTACGCGCAAAGGAGCGATTCGAGGCGGAGCTCGGACCCATACGGGAAAAGGCTGAGATGGAAGCTGAAGCGAAGGAGGGGTGGAAGCCCAAGATTTACAAGGATGAATGAATGATGAGCGAGGCTGACGCGGACGATGTTGATCGACTAAACGGCATAATGAGGCTTGGACGAGACGGGGGGCTTACGCGGCAAACTTGTATCAACTAACCAAAAGGGAAAAAAGTGAGGGTCATGAAGGACCTCCTACGAGCGAAGCGCGAGAAAGTCCATCTCTTCTCTATTGTACACGTTTTCTTCTTTTTTTTTTTCTTTTTTCCATTACCACATCTTCACTCGGCACTTGGCAGTGGCATGGCACGGCGTTTATGGAGGAGAGGACATCTAGAGGCTTCGAAGCCACAAGGGGGGAAAAAAAGAGATTGGGTCTAGACCAAAGAGGAGAAAAAAACAAAGCAAAAGGCGTTTTGAAGTTTGATAATCAAATACGCGCTGGCGGCACGCTTGTACTATACGCAAAACAATGTAACATACCAACTTGTGTAAATTGACGATTAGATGAAACCTCCGTCTTGATTACTGCTCCCTTCTTGTTGCTTTTTGAGGTTTGTATTGTCATGATTCTAGGCTTAGGCTTTTCTACGGACCAGACCCTTCCAATAGTCGAAGCTGTTCTCATCGCTTTGCAGACTCCACACTTTTCCAATCCCTCGTCCTTCAGCGTCCGTCTCCTCTACACGCAGCATTCCCCAGTCGCGAGTGATGCCGACCACTCTTGCCTTGACACCACCCTCAGCTTCTAGCGTGATGGACTGTCCCGTGTGTAGCCAATGGCGATAGTACCTTGACTCCAGGCCCTGGGAGAAACCCTCGCGGCGGAATTGTTCGTAGATGGACTCTAGACGAGTGAGGATGCGGGCGAGGAGAGTTTCCAAGTGAAGCGGCGACACGTTGGGTGGGAGCAAATCGGAAAGAGAGGTTGTTGGACGAGGGTTTGTTGCGTTGATGCCAATTCCCAGGACGACTTGGTATGAACCGTCAAAGTAGCTGCATTGAGACAGAATTCCGCCTATTTTGACGTAGGACGGAGGAGATGCTGGTTTTGTGGGATCGAGAGCATCTGTTACTTTAGTCAGCTAATGGAACATACCTCGCCGTTGATGCCTTGTGGGATTTGACACTCACATATATCATTAGGCCACTTCAACTTGACCGGCATGTTCTCATAGCCCGTGTCATAGGAGCGGATGGCTTCGACAATGGCAACGGCTGCGAGATACTGAATGAAGACTATGGGGCGTGAGGAGGCGAGGTGAGCTGGATGATTGATGATGACGGAAAAGAGAAGAGAGCCGGGGGGCGCAACCCAGACGTTGGTTCCGCGGCCACGTCCGGCGACTTGCGTTGAGGCGGTAAAGGTGAAACCTGTTGGCAGTTTGGTGTTGATTTTTGGATTTCTGAATTCCCGAATATTAGTATTTGCAGCGGTATATATATAAGAAGGGAAAATAAAAATAAAAAGAGACGCACTTCTCTAGGAGTGTGTTTGTGCTCGTCACCACATCTCCATATAATAGGACATCGCCCCATTGGTCTGCCGCAGAATCAATCTTCCTGTAATGTTTTAAGCTTGAATAGAATCTCTCGTGGCTGAAACGAGGTGTCAGTTCATCGCTAGGCAATTTATTCTCATGAGGGATAATCTTCTTGATAACGGAGCTTGGGTCATCAATAGCCTCAGTCTGTGGCAAATTCTCTTGAAGCCCACTCAAATCTAGGCCATCTTGAGAGACAATCTGAAAAGTATCTGCCTCTGCGCGGATGAACTCATTGCCATCCTCCTTCTCGATGGCGTCCCCCAAGTCACATAGCAGTTCCGTCACCTTGCCGCTATCGATGGCGGTAAGATGGAGACTGGACAGCGATGGAGGCGTGTAGTCGTCTTGGGCAACTTCGAGGCCTAGTTCTGATAGACAGGCTTTTAAAAAGCTGATTCGAGACCTGTCGTCTGCGGCAAGTTTATCGACTAGCTCGCTGTATCCTGGAATATCCGGCTGGGGATTGAGGTTGGCTGGGGCAAATCTTGAAAAAGCAAAAGGAAAGGAGAATGTCAGCATGAGATCTCTCTTTTCAAGATGGAGTTTTTGAACAACAATACACTTACTCTGGGTGTGGTCCGCTAAGGATGGCCTTGCCCTCTCCCACATGGCATAAAACAACTGCAGCCTTTTGCTCACCACCATCCACGTCAAGATCGTCCTTGTATGACGCCAAGACCTCAACCTTGCGTCCTCCCGTTGCGTTCATATCAACAAAGACACCACCGCCATTGTAATATACGGAAAATTCTCCGGGCAGCTTATCCTTCAAAGTCTGTTTTTCCGCCTTGATCGTGATAGCTCGAGCTCCCTTCTCGCTGCGATACTCGAATCCCTTGAAAGCGCCGCCGCGACAGGTTCCTGGGAAAAAGCCAAGCTCCCTATTTCCAACGACCTCTAGGGTTTTATTGCCCACTTCGAATTCGCATCTGCTGCTGCCGTAGTATCCTCCGGCGCAGAGCCCGAGATATGCGCCTCCTCGCCGGACAAACTCGCTGATGCGTCTATTTCCCTCGCCGTTGAATACCCTGCAGTAGCCAAGATCGGCGCCTCCTGGGAAGACGAGAAGTGCACATGTTTGTGCCCACGGCTCCTTCAGGATGGCCGTCTCACTGATGGGGATGATGGCGTAGTTTGGGGACAGAAGATGGCGGAGCGTATACATGCAGTGGCGGACAGATTCTGCCGTCGTCCCAGTGCCTATTTCATAGTGAGTAATATTATTCTTCGAATGAACGAACGACACATTGACTCTTAAAAGAATGTAAAACTCACCTGTGTGGACCAGGATATTCAGTCGGCTGGGTGCCATGATGCCTGGTTTCCCGATTCGTTTGGTTGCTAAGTCACGCCACCCAATAATCAAATATTTGCTCTTTTCTTCTCTCTTACATCAACCGGTCAGCTGCAACAACACCCAGGCCACTTGTCGACGCCTGATAATCCACAAAAAAACTGAGCGAGATGCCCGGAGACGTGAAGGAAAAGCCACCAGCAACAGAGGCCTCAGCAGCCGCGGCAATTGAGGATGATGATGAGCCGGATGAGTGGTGAGTTGACGGCTTAAGCTTTGAGAGGTTGCCCCGACGCTAAGCCGTGGGCTTTTTGCGAGCTATAGGGACAAGCGAATATTCAGCACAGGCTGCGCGGGTGAGTTGCGATTCAACGCCGAATACTTGGTTAATGAACTCTTTATGGATTTTTAAAATATCATGAAGAGAGAAATGTCCAATTTTACGGATCAATGGCACATATAGGGTACTTGAAGGCTGATTCGAGCAATTGTGGGCGCTGCGTGGTCAGATGAGAATATGAGAATGACAGACTGCTACTATGAGAAGAAGGATTGGAGAGCGTGCACAAAAGAGGCAAGTACTTTCATCATATTCCTCAAGCTTTCATTTGATCTCATAAAAGGTGAAAATTCGTGTGGTTTCCTTATGCTGACTGGAACGTGAATTTAGATGGAAGATTTCAAAGAGTGCTGGAAGGCCCACGGCAACGTTGAACGAACCAGCACCAGGGACAATTAGAAAGCAAAGGGAAACAACCAGTGTAATACAAACATGTAGCAATAGGAAATAGAACCATCTTGACTCAATCAGCAAAAAAAGATAAATAGCTACATTAAATTTACGTGGACTTTCCAGATCTCAACTGTCCATTCAATATCGCCTGTGCGTCATAAGACAAACAGCGGTAGCGGAACTTCTTTTCACCGGGGCATCTCGCTGATAGCTATTCAGAGAATTTCCAGAGACCGTGAATACCAACCATCTACAACAAATAAGCTCCTAGACGATCAATTTCTGGACCGTACACCATGTTTCCCACCCGTAGAGCTTTCTCAGCGGCTTCCAGGCAGCTCGCCAGCCGATCCTTCCGACCAATCCAGCCCTCAGCCCGCCTCTACTCTACAGAATCAGCGACATCAACGACAGAACAACCAGCTACATCAACACCCCCCGCAAAAGCTTCCACTTCCACATCATCGAACAGCAACACAACGAGATATGCCAGATCCGCGACCAAGGCGACCAAACCGGCCATGGCGGCCTCTATAGCATACGAGGATATCGTCTACCAGCCCAAGGGCATTGCGTTTGAGGATGCAAAGGAGGAGGATGGCGAAGTGCTGGACCCAGCGACTGTGGACTGGACGAAGAGCTTCTACGGCATTTCAGCAAAGCCAGTATCGGAAAAGCAGTTCAAGTTTCTGATGCAGCCGGTCGAGGAGAAGGACATCGAGGTCAAGCCCGATGGCGTCATCTATCTGCCCGAGATCAAATACAGGAGGAGATTGAACGAGGCTTTCGGGCCTATGGGATGGGGCTTGATTCCCAAGGGAGAGGCAATTGTTAGCGACACGATTGTGACCCGGGAGTATGCTCTCATTGTGGGCGGCCGGTAAGGACTTGCGAAAAAGGCGATTGCTTTGTTACATCAGCTAACTGTTATGCCCAGATTTGTCTCACAAGCTCAGGGCGAAAACTCATATTTCTCTTCCGAACAGCTACCCTCTGCCGTTGAAGGATGCAAGTCCAACGCTTTGATGCGATGCTGCAAGGACCTGGGCATTGCCTCGGAGCTGTGGGACCCTCACTTTGTCCGATGGTTCAAGAAGAACCACATGGAGGAAGTGTGGGTTGAGCACGTCACGACCAAGAAGAAGCGATTGCAATGGTATAGAAAGGGCGACGTTGACGTACAGTACCCTTACAAGGTCAGCAAATAAAAGCTGGTTCGCATTGATCTTACGGCGCTGGAGCGAATGTTACGATGGCTTGGGCTTGGGAGAGATTTTACGATACGAAAAATCTTTATCAAAAGAGGATAACACATGGGTAGGAGAATGATGGCGCGGTTGGACTTGTACAATATTTGGAAACCATCTCTGGTTGATGCCATGCAACAGGCAGGCATTTTGGTTAGACTCATGGGCCCGGGTGTACAAAAGGGAAAGGCAGATGGCCAAAGCCCATTTGCACGAAGGGATCTTTCACTCCCCTCGATATATAATGACATGATATCCCAAAGAGTGCCAGAGGCCCCATTTCTATCAACCAGATCCATGCGTACTTTCCCGGTACATGAGCGGTGACAAGCTGATTTGTCTACGCGTTCAGTCCATACTCGCATACCAGCCATTTCCCTCGCTGTTCCAGTTCCTCCTAGTCATCCTGTCCAGAGCCGTGGCTTGTACCCCCACTGCGGCCCCAGGACATCCACGAGCCGCCTGCGTCGTCGCCTCCAGCGTGACGACGTCGGAGGTTGGACTCATCTTCGGCTCCACTCTCGGCATCGATCTTCTCAAAGTCTGTCTCGCTGCGGCTCTTGCTCAGACCGCTCCATCCGCTGAGCCCACTAGGCGGCCTCTGGGTGACGTCCTCGTCGCTATCCATGTGCCTGGAGCGGGATCGAGATTGCGTCTGTCCGTCTCGCTGAAGCTGCGCTGCTTCTCGATCAAGAGCTGTGAGGAGGACGTTGAGTCGGTCTCGTTGGGAGGCGATGAAGGTCATCCTCTCGTTCGAGTCTTGTATATGGGATGGGACTACCGATGCCGCGCCAGCTTCGTTTCGCGCCCCTGAGCCGGTTGCCGCGGCCACGGCACCGGCCAACAGGCCGAAGAGATCGGAGCCTACATTGCTAGGAGCGGAAGGCCTCGCTGCCGCGGGGATGTTAAACCGGGCGAGGAGCGATTGCGTATAGCTCTGATAGGCGGGAGGAGCGGGAGGCTCGGGTTCGCTCGGGGGCATGCCAAGGACATTTACTCTTAGGTAGTCAATGGCCTTTCGAAAGTAGTCGATGCCAGCCGCCTTAAGACGCTCATGGGCGCTGGCGATGAACTCATCGATCTGCGATTCGTTTTCGCGAAGGAAGGGATGGATGTACGTCTCGTAGAGCACTCGAGCGCCCTGAGTATGGGGTAGAATCAGGTATAAAAAGAATAAAAGGCGAATGTAGCCGTAGAACGGAACCCTGGAAGATCAATTGCATGAGTATCGGGTCACAAGATGGCGTAAGACGAAGATGGCGGGAGCAGCTGTAAGACGTACCACGCAAGGATGAAGTAGACCCACGACTCTACAAGCAGACAGCAGCTAAACACGACCCAGTACATGAGCCATGGCGTCAACTGCGCAGGATCCGAGGTCTTGAGAGCTTTGTAGGATGCGAATATGGGGAAGAGGAAGGATGCGATAGAGCTGTTGCGATGCTTGAGCGTTAGCGCTGCTTAGCAGTGACGGCATTGGCGGGGCAGATAAAACACACGATAAGAGCATGGCAAAGAGGTCGAACATGGTTGCGGCGGGAGGACGAGGCCCGGCAAGGCCTTTAGACGTCCAAAAGGGATTGGTTTCGGTGTATAAAATAAACAAAGCGTAAGATATGCTTGTAAATATGTCTCTACTCCTCCGCAACGACGACTGCACCGAGAACGGTTTTGCGGAAAAGAAGATAGGCGGAAGTTATAGAAGCCGAAGGTCTGAGGGTTGGGTGGGAGAAAGGATGAAGAGCAGAGTTAGGCCCAACGGCGGCTCTCAAGCCAATGTGGCCCCCTTTTGTTTCGGCCCAGTTAGCACAGCCCAAAGCCTCACTAAGCCCGGAGTAAAGTGCGCTGAAAATGCTCCTTGGGCAGAACGACCTGGGCGTTAAGTCACCTCCGCAGGGGTCGTTGGGCTGTCGTGTGAGCAGGGCGAGCACCTGAGACGCTGAAAGTGGAAGAGGGCGAGCGCTGATGGCGACGTGCGACGACGGGTAGAGGCGCTCCCCGCTATTGGTGAGTGCTCGTGACTGGACCGAATGCGGCTGGAATTGCAGCCTCTTGGGGATGACGCAGTGCGGCGTCTACCTGCCTAGGGAAGCCGGGGGGCCGGAATTTGTATGATTAGCGATGTATAGGGGTTTGTGCACCGTAGGTGAAATATGTAGACTCGAGGAATGTTGAGTGCCGGCAGCGAATGAAATCGGCGGGTATAAAGAAGATGGTATTAAAAAGAGGGACTGCTTGTGAATAGACTGGGCTGGGCTAGGTACAGACGTCTAGAAGAATTCACATGTGATTTACCACAGCTGGGCTCAGATGCATCATGCATGTACATGTATTAGGTAATCCGTATTTGTAGTTCTAGAATAATATAGAGTTCGCAGTACACGTACGCATACACGTATTCTTCATCTGTTTCCTTGGTGGTATCCCTAGAATGAAGCCCATCTCGTAGCAGTGATCTGCGAAGACTAGAAAATACAGCCTGCATGTGCGGCACTTTGTAGCGTGCCCTACGGCACTGTATAGACAATCTTGATCTATTATGGGATGAAGTTGGTACACTGGATGAAGTTGATCTGTGCAATTAGTTTAGGGTCAAATAAATCTTAACATTCAGAGTCATAAATTCTCCTCCACTACTGCTCATCAAGCTTTTTCTGATGACGATTTGTCCGAAAAGTTTCTTATCCATCTAGGATGGCAATCTAAACGAAAAAGAACTTAAACTTCACCTCTCATTTGGTACCGGTAAGAAAGTTTTCTTATCATCTTCTTTGCATTGTCTTTTGTGGCAACTATCAAGCCTCTTTTCTCGTATGTGACTCTAAATATCCACATGGACCTCTAGGAGGCAAACTTTCAATGTAGACAAAGCAAGTATAAAAGGACCAGTGCCTACCACATGTCCCTACGTTTTCCCTTAAATCAGCAACACACCAGTCTCGACTATAACAACACGTCTTTGCTTTATGTTCAAGATGAAGAGAAAATCCGAGAAGCAGATTGCTCGCGAAACTGCGACACATATATCCATGGTCAAAAAGTCACGGAGAAAGGCTAGCATACAAAACGAAGCGGCCCTTTTCGCAGCGGCAACTATTTTGCGTTTCCATGGCGAGCTGGTTATACAGTCCAGGGAAGTGGCTATCACGAAAGCGATGGAAATGTCTCGTTGTGAAGAAGGACAGATGGTCTTCTTTACTGATGGCGCTGTTCACATTCAAAAAAATCAAGATGGTACTGTTTTTCGAGCCTCTCCCGAACAGGCGCAATGTCAAACTCGTCATCCTCCTCTTTGTCAAAACAAGGTCAAGCTAGCTGCTGCAATTGCATACAAGGTTACAAGAAGCAGCGAGTGGACAGTGAGGGCTTTTACGGTACCTACAGGGGGCAGAGGCGGATATTATCTCGAGGCTGAACTGGCTGGTATCGCAGGCGCTTTAGGAATTGCAATATTAAGTATAAAAGACTCAAGAAGAAAGGCCTCGATTACTCCCCAAAAGGTTGCTATCTTAACCGACTGTCAAGATGCTATTAGCCAGCTACAAAAACTACGAGAGCTTGCTTCGAATTGGAAGTCTCAAGATGGCTCACTTGCTTGCAAGCTAGTAACGAGATCACAGCAACTTCATGATCTTGGTGTTATACTTGAAGTACACTGGATTCCAGGCCATCGTTCTGCTATTCCAGGAAATATTCGTGCAGATACTGAGGCACGACAAACAGCAAGAAGCGACATGAACATCCATGAGTGGGAACTTCTCCGAGTCGAGATATAGCTTGATGAAGCGGATTGAAGGTATGAACTTAATGGCTAATAACTTTAAGAAATTAGAGTTGGGCGCTGTTAATGTAATTGGTAGATAAGTTGCGTCAAAGATAGTATAAAGGCAGATATTAATCGCATTGACAATAGTACTACTGTTTGAAGGCGAGTTTGCATGGCTCTTTACATGTATATGGTAGTGGACTTTTACAGCGGATATCTAAGTATATCTGGAAGAACCCGCCGCATGCAGTATACATTTGCTGCTTACTACACTTTGTTCGGGTGAAATAGCCAAAGTAGAGAAATTTCATCAACTTTGATGGAGACTACTAGTCAGGAAAAAAAGGTGACTGTATACCTAAACAGTCATCTGGTTAGACCAGTCTCATCTGGCTGATTCCCCAAGGAAGGCGAGGTAATAATCTTCAAGATGTATGATGTCACACTCCAACCAAGTTCATGATAGTTGTTCTTACCGTGATAAATGGTAAATTGTGTCTCATGATGTATGGAAGTCTTCTGTCCAGTGTGGCGGGTTTGCTAGCCCAACGACTTCTTGCATTGCCCGCGGCGTTTGGACCACGTCTCTTCAGCTCAACCCGCACTGCTTCTACAAGATTGAACTAGCTAGAGTGATCCAGCTCCAATAAATAAGGGGAGCGGATCTAATGACGCGAGAGCTATTCGGCTAAGTTTGTAAGCCAAGCATGAGGTAGGCAATCTTATCCTGCTCTTGCATTCCTTGATTGTAATATATTTATCAATAGGCAGTATTTCATCATATATCTTATCGAGCCGCGCTTGTATTCGAGAGAGAATACATTGTGATTGATGAAGTGTTGGTTGAAAGCACCACGTGGTCCTGTATTTGTAACTACCTGTATGACTCACCTGTTACCTGTCAAAGCCCTGAGCATTGATTGTAATATTTTTCTCATGAAAAGAACTGCGCTGGAGACGAATATATATTCCTACGATGTCTTCTGGCCTAGGATGGTTGTTTTTCGCGATATATCTTGAGACGCGCCCGGTATGGTAGAAAATTATCCTACAACAGGTGCACGCAAAGCCTTATCTAGGACGCCCTAGGCGATTTGTTGAAGGGGACAAACAGCCATGTACCTCAAACATCAGTAGATCAACGCTTGGGGTTAGTCAATTGGCTGGGGAATTTTGAGACTGATTTAATCTGGCA